TTGCACAGAAGAGGGGGTTGTATACTTCAGAGATGAAAAACATAACATAGAAAGGATTTCAGGCGTTTTGCCCATGGTTTCTTTTTCATGTACACGAATGGATATCCAAAATATAAGCACAGCTAGATACAAACACTACACTATGGCATATAAACTCTGTTGGACTGTGTTTGTCAGACAAAAATCAATCAAAAAAGCACTTACCTTTGCTTTCTCAGCAGTACTTATTGTCAGCTGAGAGAACAGAATGAGTGGAAATGAAATTTTCAGAGCTCAGTACAGAGTGATAAGATTAAAATCGGAAGGCCTAGAGATGTATCATCAGCATAAAATACCTTAATAGTGTAGAGTCTATGTTTACAGCATCCTATTTCATATTATAGCTCTGTTAGTGAATAAGCCTTATGTGGTGGGTTAACCTTGGGTGGCTGCCAGGTGCCCACCCGGACACTCTCTCACTCCCTCTCCTCAGCAGGACAAGGGGAAAAGATATGATGAAAAAGCTTGTGGGTTGATATAAAGACTCACCAGTTCAGATCTCTCACCAGTAGTGTCATGGGCAAAACAGACTTAACTTGAGGAAATTAATTTATTGCCAATGAAAAACAGAATAGGATAGTGAGAAATAAAAAACAAAATTTAAAACATCTTTCCCACCCCCTCTTCTTCCCAGATTTACCTCCTTCTCCCCACCTCCAGCAGTGCAGGGGGATGGGGAATGGGGGTCGAGGTCAGTTCATAACACTTGGTCTCTGACACTGCTTCCTCACACTATTGCCCTGCTCCAGCATAAGTCCTTCCCATGGGATACAGTCCCTTATGAACTGCTCCAGCGTGGGTCCTTCCTATGGGCTGATGTTCTTCACGTACAGTTCCAGCATGGGTCCCTTCCCTGGGGTTCAGCCCTTCAGGCACAGAGTGCTCCAGCCTGGGTCGCCCGCGGGGTCACAATCCCAGCCAGCAAACCTGCTCCAGCCTGGGCTCCTCTCTCCACGTGGCCACAGGGCCTGACAGGAGCCTGCTCCAGCGTGGAGGCTCTCCACTAGGTCACAGCTTCCTTCAGGGCACATCTACCTGCTCTGGTGTGGACCAGTTGCAACTTTCAGTTCAAATAAAATCAGTATAAGATCACCAAAATTGTTCTTGCAATTAAGGAGAAAAAGCATGGTAAATATACTCAAAAAAACATCCTCAAGTTGCTTTTTTTCCAGACCAAATTCCTACATGAGACAAAATACATAATTTGGGTTATTCTTTGGATTACACCAAGATGCTTATCCTATTACAAAATCAGCATGACAGAAAATATTTAAGTGATTTTCTTCTCGTTCTCAAAATACTCCACAGATCAACTGCAAAATTAAATCCAGATGGGAAATGGGCAGTTTCTCAGCAGGCAACCCAGGAGATCAGAGCTCGAGCAGTAGCTAGCAGCCACCAGCGCCCGCGGGCAGCTCTTGGTCAGCGTGGGGAGGGCTCCTGCGCCCACCCTGCTGTGCTGACCCCTGCTCCTGGGAGGGAGGGAGTTGGCAGAGGTGGACCTGGCTACAATCCCAGCTCAAGCCTTTCTGACAGAGGAGGATTTCAACCTCTGGTGAGCCACTGAAGCAGTGCCAGGCCTTTCCCTCCTTCCCCTCGCTCCCCTGAGGTGTGTCTCATGGCTTTTAGCCTTTTGGTGTGCAGCTCATAAGACCAAGAAGTACGACACACAGTGCTCTGGTGATAGCAGGCAGAGAGGAAACCATCAAAGCCCATGCTTAGCTTTTCAACCTGACGGAAGAGCACAGAGAGCTTCCCACGTGACAAAAGCCTGTCCTTCACCAGACACGATCAGCCGTTAAGGTACCCAGTGACAGGCAGTGGGAATGGAAAAAGTAATTAATCACACTATTAAGTATGAAGCTGCAACAACCCAGCATCATGCTCACTCTCTTAGTCTTATTGTTCTCCTCTGTCAACCCCTCTTCTCCAGTCTCTCCCATTTTCCTCTCTCTGCTTCCATACAAAAATCATTCAACCCTCAGATCTCTATGTCTTATCCCAAGCACCGAGGGCTTCCTTTCTCAGCAGACGCACAGGCCCACTGCTTAGCTAATCGCATCTTCCTCCTTTCAAAGACGATGCTATTAGCGGAGCTGACAGGCCCACTACAATAGTTACCGCCTGTTGGCAGCTTGGATGTAATACATATTTCTGTGGTCAAAAGCTCTAGTGAATTGCAGATAGCTAAAAAAGAGGCAAACTCTGTATCTAAAACTATCTACCTCTTGTGCCAGTATTATAACACATACAAAAGATGAGCAGAAAATTAACTGAGTTGGTTCAATTATTATGTTCTACCTAGAAGCATTATTCATGTCCCAGCCTTCCTTACAATCACCCCCACTAGCCACATTACTCTCTTTGGCCTAATAAGTTTTATTAATAAACAGTAACGAGCTTGAAAAACATGAAGGCCAATTTTATTGCAAAAGGAAGATAGAACAATTAGGCAGCTGAGGCCTTTTAGTGCCTGCAACATGTGGGTTTGCCTGAGCTGTGTGTTTATAACTCAAGGTTTTTGTTGGCAGTAAACAGGTGATGATCAAAGCCTGACTAGGCTACAATGCTGTAAGCTAATCTTCTGAGAGGTTGCAGCAGGACTTGCTCTTGAAATAAGAAATCAGGCAAACCATATTACACATGGCTGTTAAGAGCTGTGGAACTGCTGGGAGAGCCTATTTCACAGAGTAGCTGCAGCACAAAGGGACCCATCTCATTTGCCAGAGCACCTTGTTTCAGCACATCAAAGTCTCCTCAGAATTTGTAGGAAATGCTGACATGTCACAGGTGACTGGACTATTTCCACCAAATACAAAGTAAAGGGGAAAATAAAATCATGAGCACAGAAGCCATGCTTTTCAGCCAGGGCTAATTATCACAGTGATGTTTCTCCAGACGGTTTTACCCTCTGCACTATCATCTCCCTGTCTGTCTGCATTAGATCTTACTCTTCAACATTTCACTTGATGCAAAGGAATTACGAAAAGTTCTTGCTTTGCACCCTAAAAATCACAATACATGTGCACCGTGACTGCCAAAAGCAGACTGCTCCACAGCCTAACTCTCTTCATTTTGACAGCCATGTCATCCTTCAGTCTGGCTGCAGTGGTCTAGCTTCTGAATAAGACAAACCCAAATTGGTGGAGTTGTCCACAGGAATGACCCGTGCTCACTTGTCACACTGAGCAACACCATCCTAGAAGCCCAGGTTTAGACTCAGCTGGGCAGTTCCATAAGAAACGAGACTTTTCCCTTATTTCAGAGGCTTCCAGTCGCAACTGACTCCTTGACAGCACCACAACTGTGAAAGGTCCCAGCTGACAGGGAGAACAAAAAAGGATCGTGCCTACCATGCACTGCCAGCTGTGGGCCAGCAGAACTGGGAAACCACTTCCTGAGACTAAGGCACTGCCATGGATTTCACTAGCACTACAAAACACTTTTCCTAGCTAGCCTCACTGAAAACTTGTTTTCACTAATTCCAAGCTACCTGTCACTTATTTCTCCCAGTGGCTGTATACGTGAGAGGGTGCATCTCCTTCCCCATGGATGACACGAAGCTGTACACAGCTCTGAGCTGGTGACCGATCATTGCTATTTAACACCACAAGAAAGGCTCCACTCAGTTATCTGGCAGGCGTGAATGAACTGCCGTCTGTAGGCACTTTTCATTAGGGCAGAAGATCATTCTTCTTGCCTTTCTGACTAAAATGAAAGGCTGGGGTGATGTCAGTAGATGCGCACCACCCGTGTCTATTTAGAAGTGATAAACTGAAGTGCAATTAGAAAGCACAGGGAGATCCTCATGCCTAAGAACACTGACGGAGCAGAGATGACTTCCTCCAGCGACGAGCAGGCAAAGGCCGTTCAAAACACACATTTGAGTATACTTACTGCTGCATTAGTGTTTGGAAGGTCTGACAAATCTGAGAAATGAAAACTGAAACTAACAATCAACCCGGGGGGGAGACAGGGGTGACACGGACATTCAGCTTGGGGGCACGAGGATAAGAAATACATTATTTGGATAGAGGGTTTTGTTGTTGGTGGTGGTGGTTTTAAACAAGCACACCACTTGCATTTTTCCACAACTTAATGTTTCTGTTCTCAATAAAACCATGCTGTGATCTCAGTATCTAAGAAACTGGTCAATAAACATTTACCCAAATAGCCCCAAAAATCCTTTAGGTAAATATTTACATATTTACACATTTACTTTAAAATGAATCTTAGAAAATTGCCCATTGCTATTTCTCATTCCATATCACGTACAATTTCAAATTGTCTTTTTTCTTCCCTTATCAATGCAAACAAAAAGTTTAATTGAAAAAGAAATACATTTTAAAAAATTAAAAATAAACCAACATGACAAATACCAGATCGTCATCTGCCACATGTAACTATCTACCCAGGAAAAAACAAACAAACAAAAAAACCAAACAAAAAAACCAACTCTTTTATTTCTGCATTTCTTCTGGATGCATTTCTTTGACCTTCTACATTTTGGGTGTCAATTCGTGGTTTCCACCTGTGTCAATTCCTGGTTTCCACCACGAAATTGCAAAGAGAATCTAGTTGCGAAAATGGAAAAAAGTGCTACATATTCACCAACAGTCTGTTACACTGTGGCACAGAAATAGGTCAATTACTGATTTGAGGGAAGACAGCACATACCTCAGAGTCCATTTTCAAACAAAATTCAGATATGTATTTAAAGACTTCAAATGCTTGAAGAGCTGTACTAATATTTAGAGAGAGAGAGAAATAATTTACTAAAACAGGTTGCTCTCCCCCACTGTCTTCAGGCCAGGAGAGACAAAGGCTTTTGTAGGGCAGTTTTGAGTGTGCTGCTGGCCTGCTATGTGGTAAGGTCTGAGATTTGCTAGTTGAAGTACAAGTTCAAGTAACTGAGTATCATTAGTAGCTGAGCTGGAATTAGACTGCTTGTGCCTAGGCTGTTAATAGTTCATATATATTGTTCTTGGATTGTAATTCTGATAGGTACTCTCTGATAAGGCAGGAGGCTTGTCCACATCTTTTTTCTCACATGATGGTGTGGACCTGAAGTTCTTAGTCTGCAATAAAAAGGAAAACATTGTACCATTATATTACATGGTAGAATTTTGTGGAACCATCATACCGATAGAGTCCAAACAAGAAACAAGTCCAGAAGTAGCCTGGTAGTCAAGATTACTTTTACAAAGAAACCATAAAGTTATTTCTCTAAGTTCTGTGAGCAAAGGGGTAGGGCACAGAGGGTGAAACCTGAACTGACAGAGAGATACAGCAACCACCTTCACAAAGCCTAAACAGGACAGCCTTTTGAATCCTTTTTTTCTTAATGTGATTGAAAACAAATTTTGAAATGTTGGTATTTTGAGCAAAATAGATGATAATGAACAATGCTAACTTCTCTGAGGAAAAAAAAAAAAAAAAAAACCACACAAAAACAAGCAGGCCACAGGCAATCCAATTTAGGCACCTAAAATTACTGGAAACTTTTGACTTTGATCTCTGCAACTCCCACTCCGATCAGTCAAATTGTCCTGAATGCCATAGAAGAGCATATCAGGAAATTAATCATTCTAACTTCAGAGCACTGTTTGACTAGTTTGCAACAAACAAGGCACACAGTCATTAATTTAACCGTGAGCATAAAGCAAAATATGAAATAATTGCTCTTTCAGTGTTCATTAAATGAGGAGACAAGAGCAACATATTATCATGCTGTTAAATATGTATCACGACACGCTGGAATTAGAGAGGAAGTAAAAGTTGTGGTGGCAAATTTTTCACTGCTGTTTCCCAGCTTCTGAGTGTTTGAACTGCAACTTGAAAAATAAAAGTTTCATAGCTATGTTTGTCTCTAATACAGCATAAGGAAGCGTGCCCTTTTCCGTCATTGTAAAATGCCTGTCTGTTTTCATCCGGTCTTTAATCAGGCAGGTTTCTGCCATCAAAGGCAATACACATTTTTAAGCAAAAGATCAGAGTTAAGATTACTCTGTGAAGCAGAAATATGAAAACATTAACTTTGGGGAGATTTAAAATTCAGCTTTATCATTGGCATTGTAAGTGTAATTTATAGTATTCTTGGTCAGGAAATGCACTACTCTACTGTGAATCTAGTGCTTAAGCAATTACTCAGATACTCTGAATACACATGAAGCTAGGGCCATCCAAACAATAGACGCCCTCCCAGAAGCACTGTTCCTCATCTCCCCCTCCAAGCACATACAGAGATAAATGGGAGTTTTGTCAGAGCAGACACGTTGCAATGAAATTACATGTTTTAGTGAAGAATACACAAAAAAACAAAAAGCACACACAAAAGAAAAGCCCACTTACTGCAAATGGTACTGATGACCCATGTGCCAATTTACGTAACCGGAAAGCTGAAAGCAGGATATCAGGAAATTAAAATGGTTTGATGGGGCAAGATGCACAGCTGTTATGTCTAGAGTTCTCCAGCTGCCCCCAGCTGTTGAAAGGCTTTCTTCAAAATACAGTTAGATTCATTGGTTAAGTTCTTATTTTTTATGTCCTGCTCTTGAACTTGCTATTGTTTTATTTTTCCCTGGATTTGATCACCCTGGGAGACATGACTGAATTGATTCAGTTAGGTGCACTTTTCTTGGGGACATAGCTGGTCAGGGAACCCATCTGACCACATTTTCTCCTCTCCTCACCTGCCCCAAAGAAGGTCATTGCTCTGTGGCAGGGACAGGCTCCCATCAAACTGCTGCAAGCACTGGTCAGTGCTGCCACCACCGACGACAACTGCCCTTCTGTTTTCTTCCTCTCTTTCTGTTTTCCACTCCCTACCTTCTCTGCTCTTCTAGTGCATACCTCCCCTCATTGTTGCCTTTTGCCAACCCTCTTTCACCCCATTTGTTCAGACCTCGTTCCTGAAATACACCTGCAATGTAATATGCCCAACACAGGGGCAATAAACTGAAAGACATTGGGCACAAAGAAGAACCTCAGACAAGCAGTGAATCTAGGGCAGAACTAAGGCAACGGAGGGGAGTAAATCAGGCAGTCTGATTGTCTGCAAGTTCCTTCCGTTTACTGTTCACCCACCTCTACGTTACCTTCTCCCAGTGCTTCATCTCCTGCTCTCCTGAAAACATCCTTGCCTTCAGCCTACTCTTCTCTCTTCCTCTCATTTTAAGCTTCCACTTGGGCTTCTGCTCCCTTCGTACCCCATCACAGCCATCCTACCTGACTCCAAGAGTAGCAAACCATGATCTAAGTTCTCGGTATCAAATTATTCAGTATAAGCCTGACTCAGTGCCAACGAAATCTATACAGCCTGAGAAACTGTGAGTGTACCAGAGGAAAATATGTACATTTGGCCTATTCTTACACTTGCTCAAGGAAAAATTCATGATTGCGGATGGAAACAGGGGGGTTGTTTATCTCTAGTCATTAGATTAGTTTATGAACTGTCATTCTTGTGTACAGAATTTTATGTCAGTAAATGCAGAGCAATCAAAATAGTTCTAAAAACTCAGAACCTGCCCTACTCTCAGAAAGAATCCTTTTCATCCTGGATGACTCTCTGCCATATATATAATGCATTAATATCATAACTATGGTTCTTACAAAACTCTGGACTTGTTTTAAAGTTCCACCCCTTATTTTATTAGGGTTTTTCCAAAAGGACAATGCATTGTATATGGACATTTTCTTCAATCCTTACCTCCCACCCCACTCTTAGCAATAAAGTGCATGTCCTTGTACCTGCATATAGTCAGCAATGGAATAGCAATACATTTCAGGCTCATCAAATTGCTTACCTCTGCACCTGAAAATCAAGCATAAAGTCATACCACTGACAGCAGCAACACTCGTAGATCCTCCTATCAGGAGATAGGGAAGCCTGGGGGATGTGTCTGAGAGATGAGAAAAGAAAGCTAGTTACAGAGCTAGACATCAGTATCCACTGACTACATGATGTTACTACCTACCTCAACCAAAGGAGAAAGCTAATCCTCTACCCCGATAGCTCAAATGGACTGAGACACACAGATGAGATGTCTGGATGCCAACCGGCAATAGGAAGCTGCCTCACACACCCACTCATCTGTGTGTACAAACACACTTTGATTTTCAATTCATCTGCCTGCACCATCTCCTTTTCTTCAAGTTATATTAGCCCTGCAACAACAGAACTGATGAGCCATCACTGCAAAATACTGTTATTAATGGCTGGTTTATGCTGACTTCTGTCCTTCATGCCTCTACTGAGGTATTTTGGTGATATGAGCACTTATTTAGCAGTTCTTACAAATTCTACTGGAGTAGGCTTCTAACAGGTCCAGCAGAGCCAGCTGAGAAGCTGAATTTTACCCTTTAGTACCTTTGGCCCTAGGAAAGATCACTTGGAAGTAACAGACAGACATTCTCCAAGGCATTTTTCTCCAGACCATCACAACTGTGGGAAGCTGGACAAAATTCAACTTCAGGGGTTCAAAGCTTCACATCAAAAATTAGTGAGCTGTATCATGGCGGCTGCTGAAAGCAACGTTTCTGTCGTCAGTGATAAAAAAGGTTACTGAAGCAGTGTATTGGGTTTGCATGGCAAGATTTTGGTAGTGGAAGGGGCTACAGGGGTGTACAGATCCCCACCTGCAGCCCGGGGAGGACCCTATCTAACAGATCCAATGCGAGACGTCCCCAAGACAGATCTGCTGCTGGCCAAAGCTGTCATAATGTATTTAAGAAAGGGTTAAAAACTGCTGCGCAACAGTAGCTGGGAGAGAGGAGTGATAACATGTGAAAGAAACAGCCCCGCAGCCCCCCGGTGAGTGCAGGAGGAGGAGGAGGTGCTGCAGGCCCGGAGCAGAGATTCCCCCCAGCCCCTGGGGCAGCCCACGGTGAGGCCGGCTGGCCCCCCGCACGGC